ACACCCACACACACACACACACAGAATGTTGCCTTTGATCGTGAATGTATCACATCACGACAAATAGCGATTCTGATTCTCCCCGACCTGGTGTCGTTTAGCGTCTTGCTGTGCTTCACTGTTGCATCCTGCTCGAGATTCTGTTTTTGGGGCAAATGCAGACACACAAAGCTGGTCACAACAATCTGGCCAATCATGAACAACGAGCTGTTAACCGTGATGCTGGAGCAGGCTAGAGCCATTGTTTCGTACATACAGCGAGATCCAAACTTGCTCAGGGCCATATACAAATAACATGCCTGAGAAGGCCTGGCATTCAAACCGCAAGCAGCCACACGGATCGTAACAAATCTTTAATAGTAGCGAGCAGAAAGCCTGGCCAAATGATATCAGTCGACACTTATCGAAGGTTTGTCTTTCGCATGCTCAGAGGTGTCTGCCGACTTGGCTGTTTCTCTGGAGATGCTTCTCATTCGTGATAGCTGCAAAGTCAGCTGAACTACCCCTATTCTGCCGCCGTCTCTGCTAGGCTGGGAACAGCGGGGGGGGGGGGGGGGGTGCGCTTTGTGGTGGAGAATATGAAACGAGCCCCACAGCCACTGAATTAATAATCTTTCGCCGTGATGGCCTGAAAAGTTGAAGCAGAACGAGCTTACCAGTCTTGCAGCCTTCTGACAAATCAGCATGACAGTGACCCATGCATACAAAGCCGTTATCTCCACACACCGCGATTCCGGCTGGATTCCTAGGTAGATTCTAGTTTCATGCAGTAATCCCAGAATACGGAGGACAGCATCACATGAAGGGCCAGATTTACAGCGGAGCCCCTGATCCTGAACCAAAACCCGAAGGCCATGTGCGATATGAAGGCAGGAACGTTGCGAAGCGATGTTCACCGAACCATGCTTTCAATCACATTCTCAAGGAGGGCTGAGGCATCAATACTGCTCGGGGCCAAGGTGCGATGATGTAGCCAGCACTTAGGACAAACGCAACATCCTGGTTGGGAGCCAGCCGAGCACACATCTGCACCAATGCAGACGCACACATGTGGTGCGAGACGAGGAAAGACATGGTGGAGTACCAGTTGCCACTCAAAGGTAGTCCTGCCATCAAAGTGGCGATTCCCGAGGCGAGCACGCCATTAACAGCACAGACCACGGCCTCGCTCACGACGTTTGCCAGATGATACGGCAATGCTCCGTACAAGCGCGCAGCAGCCTCTTTGGTGTAATACTGGCGGTCATCTATAAAGAAAGGCATGGCGCAGTTTGGAGTCACTGTCTGTGCCAGAGCTAGGAGGAACAACACCCCCACACGGTCTTCAGGCATGCTCGAGTGTCGCTGAAGCGGCAGTGGGAGCAGCAGCCAAATCCCATCTGGAGGCTGGATATAGCTTCGGTTCATCTGAAAATAAACAGAGCCCATCAACAATCCGATGAGGAAGTGGAGGCCAATTCGTGCTGCCAGGGTCCCAGGACTCCGTAGGGAGCTCCGTAGCTGTTGTCGCTGGAGAGTCCAGTACTGGTGTAGGACCCCAGGTCGAGAATTCAACACCACGAAGCTCTTCGGGGTAGCATCTGGGGTGATGGCTCCTGAAGATGTCGAACGAACAAGTTCGGCGAAACGTCTATAGAAAGGAGCATGGAGCGTAACTGGCCTTGATCTTTTCGAAAGTGCGAAACGAAATCTGAAGGTCACTGCCCCGTGAAACGTGTTCTTGCAGCGTTCGCATCATGATGAGGTCACGTTGCTGTTGCGACATGCTGCTCTCTTTGCTTTGCTCAGGGGCTAGGGAGGCGGGCACATGCTGCTCTCTCTCTCTCTCTCTATGTCTGCCTGTGTGTGCCAACGTAGGGGAGTGTCTGTAACACTAAAGCTGAGCCCAAGAATCGGCCAGAAATCGAGTTGAGGTAGGCTTCAGCCAGTCGCTCAACATCCTCCTGGTCCCTCAAAGTCCGAGACCCATAAATCGATTCCTCAGCTTCGACCGAGGAAGTTTGGGGAATTGACTCTTGAGTTTGGCTTAGGACTCGGAGTTTCGGAATCGGAACAGACATCAGAAATCTTCAAGCCTCGCGGCCCTTGCCCTGCTCTGCCTTACCATCTGTGCGACACCACAGCCGGACTCTAACCTATGCCCCTGAACCCCCAAAAGACTAGTGATCAAGCAGTCGTCAAGGATTGTCCTTCAGCTGTGTTTGGATTCAACTCAGCAGCTACCGGCACTTGTGAATCTTCCCACCACGGCTAGCCTCGCCTATCCCTGCCTACTACACGTACGCTTTTTGTGGTACTCAGTTGCTAACTATCTCTGACAATGATGTGCTTGGATCTTCTCGGCACCGAACGGGTGGCCCTTCAGCGGCATGGAGAAGCCATGTGCTGTGACAGCTCCTGAGTCGATGCCATGCGTCACTCTTCTCGAAGCCCACCGTGATACAGTCCAGGACCTGAGATGTTTTCGGTGTCCAGCGTGAACGTGGTTATTGCCTTGGCCTTGCCATGACGACATGTTAATGTGGGCTCTGACGGGGCAGGCATTTCTGCGCCATCCTGCTACTGTCAACTAGGCTCAACACCACTGCGACACACGCCCACTCCAACGAATTGCAGCTCTGACGGGTACAGCAACGGATGCTGCTTGTCGTCCGTGCTTTGCATGTGGCCGGTAGCCCTTCAGAACTCCAGATCTAAAGTCTTAAGTATTGATCAAAGGATGTCGCAGGTGCTAGTGTAGGGTACGGGCCAGGGATGTTCAGGGCTGTTCGACAAGCTGACCCGATCGTTAGCTCAAGTGCACCCGGAATTTCAAGCTGAATGCCACCTTGTGGCCATGTCTGTAATGGACGTGGTCATCGCCCTTTCTGGATCCCAAAGGTTCGACTCGGTTAGCCACTTCTTGAGGCCGCTCGGGGGTCCGTTGTAGACGAGATGTCCGCAAGCCAGGAACAAGACCTTGTCGAACATGTCCTCAGTGCATGTGCTTGTGTTGGGAGGGCTGCGTTGAACAGCTGAGTGAGTGACAGGTACGATCCGGTACACTATCCTTGAGTGTAAACGACATCTGCTGCTTACGGTTGCAACTCTAGCCCAGACCCCTTTCACGGACCAGGGGCTACGATGGCCTGCCTAGGCTGGTGGATGGTGCACGCTACAGCGTGCCCGGCTCGGGTGAGAGCGCGGATGCCTCGGAAACCGCATTACATGGGATGTCAACAATATAGGACTCGCAAAAACTCGCGGCTTGCGACATGGCTTCTGTAAGAAAGCAGCACACAAAAGGCTAAAAGCTGACACAAACGCAGTGTGATATCAGCGAGCCCGATCATGGCAAGTAATCATTGGAGCCGGATTGGTGCGGACCGAAACGCTTTCCATCACGCACAAGGCGGAGAAGGCATCCAACCCACTCGTCGGCTCATCTAGGAAAACCAGTGGAGGCGAGTGGACGACGCCTGGAGCACGGCAGTGTGGAACCATCCTGGATGCTAGATTTACGGTGCCTGAATCGACTCTGCAGTGCGGCAGGTGGCAGGACGGACTTCGATCGCGCAATCAATTCTACCATGTTTACTCATCCCTCTCCACATCCACGGCTGCTGTCGATGATGGCTGGGTTAGCACATGACAAAGATTCATTGACAATAGGTCTGAGCAGGGGAACGTTGGGAATTGTGCCTCAGGGGGCACCATGGCAAACAGCCAAGCTATGGTATGTCTACCTCGCAACTGGCAGGTGCTGTCCAAGCCTGCAGTTTGTTGGATCAAAATACATGCGTTGCACGTGGTGCCGATTTCATCAACTTGAAGGGCAACTGTCGCAAGCCTGCTGCAATATTGAGCCGCCGTCGCTCACCACCAGACAGTCCGCGGATGGAGAATCCGCCAGGCAGCTTGCCCCCGACGAATTTCGCCTCCTGCATTTACCAGGAACTCGATGCCTCTTTGACAGAATTTTGCCTGGGGTATTTGGCTTTTGACATCTCTGACTGCTCAAAATGCGAGCTTGGAGCGAAAATTTCTCCAGACTATTACGCCAGATCCGACATGCTTAGGAAAGGCTTTGATGGCTTCGCTGAGTGTTTGGTACAAGCCAACTCCCGCCTCATCCTTTCAACAATCATCTACCACGGGCCTGCCCTGAAGACTGCTGCTTAGGTCACACGGAGTCATAGAGCTTGCCCCTCCCGGATGCATCCCATGCCTTGTCCGCGAGGCCAACAGCCTGGAGTCGCTCCGAGATGGCTCGTTTGCCTTAGGGAGGTGAGCATGTAGGATCATGCAGGTCATGCAGACCTAGCACCGCAGGCTCTCTCACGACATCAGTCACATTGCTTGTTACACAGATGGCACCCCCGACAAGCAAGATAGACTAATTGCCTATCATGGAATCAGTCTGAACCATATTGGTGGACCAGTGACGCATGACTGGTGGTGTGTACCTGGGCATGGTAAGCTCAGCATAGAACTCCACCGTCTCCCGCACCTCGGCATGACATGCCACTGCAAACATCTTGGCGCGGTCCTCTAGCACTCGGGCCACTCAGGCAAAAGTCACCATCTCCAAAGGCACAGGTTTCAACTGTAAACCTGTCCCGTATCCGGGCATGTATGGTACTATCTTTAAGTGTACCGCAAATATCAGAATATCTGAGGCTATGGTCGGTGCAGCATGGCTTGTCATTAGAGTGTCTACATGTATGAACACCTGCTCATGTTTAGGTGGCCAGAATCCTCACCGACACAGCCCCCTCTCGCATATATTCGGACAACATGCACAGGACAAGAAGGCATTTAGTTCCTCGCCACACCCCATAGACAGTGTGACAACCCATTGCAGCACAAATCCATGGTGTCACCCGGATGCAGTATCCACAGCAGACAGGTGGTACTACAATGCTTCTGCCGAAAATTTATCCTTGAAGCAAGTAAGGCGTGCACTGTGTTCGTGGGGATCAGGTTGTCCTCCTGCGCCACGTAAGCGGACGCAAAGAAAAAGCCTTCATCTTGTTCGCGTCCATTCATAAAGACGCGTCCTCGGCGGGAAGGGAACAGAGATTGTAACATCCTTTATCGTCAAGTTGTGACCCCCGACCCAGCACAGCATCAGTCCTTCTTGAAAGCACCAAGTCATACACACATGTACATGTATATATATATACACACACATACATACATACATACATACATACATACATACATACACACACACACACGCACAAACGCTCTTGCTTGCTTGCTTGCTTGCTTGCTTGCTTGCGGTTTGGGTGCAAGCACCCCGGCCCGAAGGCCAACCCCCCTCGCGGCGAGCGTCTGGTTGATTGTTCGGATCGCAGCACTCGGCAAACTGATCAGGAATGAAACCTGCCAGCCTTGTTCGCATGAGCCTGCTACCCATGCTCACCTAGCACCCGTCGGGAGCGATCTGTCTGCAAACAAAGCAGCCGGAGACATCTCCCAGTGTCTTCCGCATGGTCAGCGTGTCCTTACTTGTCTCGCATGTCTGCGAAGTTGCGATCACTGCAGCGCTGGAAGCTGATGTGCTAGCCAGGCATCCAACAGAGTGCTCTTCCCCGCACCCGATGCTCCCATTATGGCCAGCATGTTCCCACCTCCCGGCTTGCCACACTCAGTGTGCAAACAAGTGGACGGAGCGACTACTTCTTTGTCAGTGAAACTGAACCACGCGTGCATTGCCTCGTGTTTCCGTGTAGGTGCTCTGAGTTCACGTCATCTGTGCAAAGCCGATACACGACTTGCAGCTGCCCCTCTAGCTATCATGAGATCTAACAACAGGGTATGCTGCAGCGTGTTGGACCGTTTGCATCGTGGGTCACAGCTGCGAGCGTAATGCCTTTCCTCCACCTAATCACCAAATCAACCGAAGTCGTGCATTTCCCTCGTCAGCAATCTTGCAGACCTTTGCGGTCTTACTAGCACGTAGCTCGACTCCTGTCTTCTCCCTCTGGCACGATCGGAGACCCGTGTGCCTTGCACGGAGCCAGACTGCTTGTGCAAGGTGATCCGCCTGCCATGAGCTGTGCGGTATGCCACCTCCAGGTCCTGTCCGCTTCAGCTGGAGGGTACGGGAGGCTTGCCATGTGAGGCACTGGCCCATGACTCTACAACTGAGGGGTCGCCTTTGCTTGCCTGAAAACCCCTTGAATCCGAATGTGTGCGATGGACCTGGGAGAACTGTCTTCAATGTGTTATAGTGCAGCCATCCTAGGCCCTATTTTCCACAAGAGCTGCCGCTCATTGCTTCCTGCTCAGAGCAACGAGCAGCCATAAAGCAAGCGACGTCAGCAGCCTTATGCAAAATAAAACAACCTCCAAGGTCCTGCCATCGAAGTGTGCAAGTTGGCACAGGCCTCGGTGACGAACACTGAGGCAGCAGGGCATGCCTTGTTCATGCCAGCATGACCACAACTGGTTAAAGGACGGTGGCAAGAAATCGAGATCTTTGCAACTTGCTCTTCCCTGTAAATGCAATTGTGTTGCACTGACAATTGTCGGCGAAGCTGCATTGCCTGACTGGGTTGTGCTGGTAGCCCTTGAAAAAAGTCAAGTCACTCACATGCGCAAATGTTTGAGCAGACTGCTTGTTGGCACTCATGATCCAAAACTGCGGCTGTACGAGAAAGTCCCGCGTTGCTTCCTCTCAAAGAATGGACATACCTGGCACCGAACAGCTGGCCTGCAGGACATTCTTTCCAATTTGGAGGTTGTCGGTGCTGCTTTTCGGCGTGGACAGGGAGGAGAAGGAGCTCATGGCTCCCGGGTTCGGCTCTCGCTGACTAGACCGAAGTAGCTTAGCATGTTCTGCTGTGTTGCTGGTCTAGGCTGGGCTAAACTCGACGGGTTAAGAAGCCGTCGGTGGTGCCGGTATGTGCCGGTGCACCAACATCAGCCGTAAACTCTTCATAAGCACCCTTCACATAACAATGATACCACCTTCACACGGGAACCCTACCACCTTCTTCAGGCCTAGCTGCCTAGCTGAGATCCGAGCGGCATTGTATCAGGAATGCCTAACTTCAGTCCGACTCGATATTGTTGCAACTCCCGGCCCGATTCCTGCATAAACAAAACAAACTCCACACAGCTCGCGCTCACCGCCTACGTTGGCATTACGACGGAAGTGCAAAGTCCCAAGCATGGCAGGCAGTGCAAGCCCAGGCTGATCGAGCTGTCGCCCATCCTGTGCTCGGCTTCTGGAGGTTCAAGGCTCGAGAATGTGAGTTGCTGAGCCTGGTACTTGAGATGGATCTTCTTCAAGAATCTACTATCGTCTGGGGAACTGCTAGCCCAGCTAAGTAGTCATCGCCAATCTCCCATGCCCTGCCTGTTCAAGTCCGGCTGCTTCTCTCTGTCCTGGGTCATGTGAGTTGAAACCCTTGCATTCCAGCGGGCTTGCTTTATGATTGCATCAGCAGGCTTGGCGTCGTTCGAGCAGTAGGTTCATCCGAATGACTAGGTCCATTCGGCGATTTATCGCAACAAAACTACCGGGACACAAACTCTGAACAGATGCATGGTGAGCGAAGACCAGACTCGAGATTCCGGTCCTCGCTGCTGCCGTCTCGCAGCGCCGAGTATTGCGCAGCCCACTCCCTCAGAAAGAGCAAGACCGTTTCGCACCTAGTCCGGTGATGTCCTGGTGCAAAGGACCCGTCTTACCTGTGGTGGAGGGAGCCAACTGTGCCTTGCTAATCCCTGCTGTTCCGATCTACGACCTCTCCCTTAGCTGATCGGGTGTTGCTTGGGCACTCGCACTCGGATGCAAGAGTGCGGAATCTGCGCGCATCTAACACCGGCACAGGAGACACAATAAGATGGTTGCTGAACGCAGAGAGCCTCTCCAAGGTCCTCTCGCATCCGTCACTCCTTTCTTCTCCATCCCCCTGATCTGCAGAAGCTTTACCATGATCCTGTCATCATGGACAGCAGGGACTTCCGGCATGTACCTTTTCGTCAGTCTTGATGTTAAGCCCATCGCGGTAGAGCTCCGAGCAGCCAAGTCTGCAAGTTATCCGACTAAGCCAGAGCTTTCAGTCACGAGTCCGGAATCTGAGACCATCAACTCTGCAACGAGATGTGGGCAATGACAAGAGAAACAAAGACACTCTCAGGGTGTATAGACGTCCAGGTGTCGGTACTTTGTAGAGGTAGTAACCTATGTGTATATGTATGTATGTATGTATGTATGTATGTATGTATATATATATAGATAGATATAGGTGTGTGTGTGTATATATATACATGCATGCTTACATACTTACATACACATTTATGTAGATAATATGTGTATATATATATAGATATATATGTACACATGTCTGTGCTACGTATTTGTATCTGCCTATGAACATAGATCTATGCATGCATGTGTATACGTGTGTGCCTGTGTTTTTCGGTGTGAATACTTGTCGCTGGGCCCACGCGCTTTGACTCGCCGCGTGCACGCGCAGCCGCTCGCCTAAGCCCACCGCCAGTCATGTCCACTCGTGGGATGGCAGAAGTTCTCGGGCCGGCACGGTGGCAGCATGTTGGACGAAAACATTTCAACATGCAGAGGGCCCGGCTTCGAGACAACCCCTGCTGAACAGACTTTCAGAAGCTGGGGCACAGGCTTTGAGACAGTGGTGTATGCTGCAACACCGGTGAGCGAAACCACCTAGCTTGGGAGAAGAGACATCTGTGCAGAGCAACAGGCCCGAACTGAACATGTTTGTTGAACCCTTCGGTTGCGATGCGCTGGACGTCGTGCCGGCAATTCCCAGACCACTGAGACAATCGAGCCCGTCGTCAACGTGAATCTTGAATGCTGAGAACCAGGATTCGAGATTCTTTATCACAAAGTTTCAAAGCTCGCTCACTTGTCGGAGAAGTGGGGAAAACAGCCGAAGAGCTGCAGCCATGTCGACAAACCCGGCTTGATCTGAGAGTCTGGCAACACCAAGCACATTTAACATAGTCATCGGTTTGCTAAAGAGGATCGCGCCACAACCTTGGACAATCCCCTCAGTTTCAAGCGGGCTTCGATCTCTGCGAATCAACTCCTTCAATTTTCCTTCAAAGAAATCACAATGGAACCGTCCCAAGTGTCACATTGTTGCTGGATTCATGTGGGTTGCAGTTCTGCCCAACTGTGGCAGCACTTCCTCAGGGCCATGCGGACAATCGGCTCAAACTTTACTCGTCTCAGGCAGCGGCATATGGTTCCCAACCGGCGGACAATGTCAGTGACCTAACATGTTCGAGCTCTGAGTGTAGCGTAGACCACATCAACGAAGAGCTCGCTGTACGGTCGCATCCTTCTCGGGCTATGGTTCTGAGCTCTGAGGTCGCGGCACTGAATGCCAAAGGGGTGCACAGTGCGACAAAAAGGAAGTTCAGAGTGTATTCGACCTGAGACTATCAGAAAAGTCAGCGGGGATCTCTGACCCACTTGCTATGCCTAGTTTCTAGGCCAAGGCCATGCCGTACCATGTCGACTCGTGCTGTCTTCATTGCCTCCAATGCAACAATGGACACGGTCTCTACAGCCCCACACCATCGTAAGTCTGGGACGTGATACGCGAAAGCCGCCATGCTCACTATCTGTCAGTACATGGGCATCAGACAGAGGAACATAGAAAGCGAGGGAGGGAGAGAGAGAGCGGGGAGAAGCCCTTGATCTGAAAAATTCAATTTGTCCAGGATCGGAGGTCAAAGCTTCGTGTTGTCAGATTTCTGTGGAAAGCTTCAGCTGCCCTACCAGAACATGCTGCATGCCACCGGATGCCTGCAGCGCGAGCAGAGGCATGCCGTCGGTTGGGCTGAGTACCGCCGACAGGATACCATTCCCGGTGTCCTGCTTGGATGCTTCTTGCTCCGAGCTGTCTTGACGCGAACAGTGATGGCACATCAGACTGTGGAGTGTGCAGAAACTCAGAGCAGCATGCTGCTACACTGTCACATCTTGCAGTCCTGCGAGTACGAGAGCCACAACAACGGCACTGACAGCCCCGCGCAGATGGTCGCCATGACAGTAAAGGCCTGCCCAGGGACAGGTGCCGCATGACTCAGGCAGGGCCTGGTGAGCATGCGCATGGCAAAAGCTGATAACCCTTGAGGGTGCTACTGTATAGTGCTAGTCGCATTGCACACAGTCCGTGGGCATAAGTCAAAAAGCAGTTGGCAACACAGTGTGGAGAAAGTTGACAGAGTGATCTGTGCATCGCTTCGCTCGGATTTCTGACAGCAGGCCACATCGACTGTCGGGTCTGGCAGTGTCCAACCTCCATGCCGGAGAGCTTGAGTGACTCAATCCGTTCCTTGCCCGGGCAGCCCACAAAAAAACAGGGTGTCTCGTTGCAAGGAACTCGAAGCTCAGCAGCATCAATTAATGCCATGCATGTTTCTTGACAGCCTATACCAGAGCTCATCGCTCCGCTGCGTTGCAGGGTGATGTTCGGATGCCTTGGAGGTGATGTTCAGCAAGGTCTGGGCCAGCGACGAACCGAGCCTTTCTCATGGAAAGGTCTCAGGGCCGATAGCGTCCTATATAGAAGCCTATTCTCAAGCCTCACGCGAAAACTGTTGGGCAAATTCGGGCAAATAGCGCATCTCGGAGACTTAGGAAGGCGTGCAGCCAGTGCTACCGTATAACATCCACCTGCAAGGTCAAGGTGAAAGCGCAGGCTCTTCATCCACTCCGTTAAGCTGCACACGCACATAGAAGACCCATCCTCAGCCATGAAATCTTCATCGACAGGTGTCAGCTGAGCCGCTTATTTGGATGTTCGTGTGCGAGGCAATCAAGGAAGTGTTCCACAAGGGCGCGGGACATGTGCATCATTCACCTACACTTCCTGAATGCCGGCACCAATGCAATTCAGGTGCTTGAAAGTATAAGGGTTTCAGCAGAGAACGTCGCAGGCTCTGGAGAACGAGACCATCTGTACGACCGAAGGCCAGTGATATAATGAAGGAATATCTCATGCAGATTTACGAAGAGATGCGAGATGATGCGAGCGAGTAAATAATTACAGCCGTGTGGTCCATGTCCCTCTTGTCTTAACTGGCGTTGATGCCCATTGCTCGGCAGCATGCAGATCTGTTTAGGCGGCAGATTTCAAGTCTAGAGTTGCCTCTGCATCTCAAAATTTAGCAGTCTTTTCAGAGCGTCTGCGGTCCTCGAACAATCCGTGGTCTGCTAGGCTGAGGCTGCCGCAAGCTGCAATCTACATCCGTTGCGCTGGCCAGGGACACGCCCATGCAAATGGGCCTTAATTTGTAAAGCTGCAGCTAAACACGAACAAATGCCGGCAAGCACATTTTCTCTGCAACCGTGGTGCATCTTGCTTCTATTTGCACAGGCTGAGTCACATGCAGCAGCGATGCGTAAATTTCCAAACCGAAATGCTGACCACCTTGACAGGCGGGTTTTCAATGCTGATGCTGCCACTGCCACCGAAGGGACAAACTCTACCATTCGATCAAAAGTCAATGGACATTCCATGTCAATATGTCAGTGTGGCACTGCAACCCTTTTCCGTGAGTAGCCCAGATTGTCAAGCATGTCGAACCAAATCACGATCATCCTCCATCATAATCGTCCCACTGCTCACTACACTGAGGCTCTGAGACTGGCGCGAAATCGACAGCACAGCACCTTTTCAGGCAAGTAAGTTTCGTTCGTAGTTGCCATCTTACCACCTCTATTGCAGCTTGCCAATCCTGTAATCTTCCGCCCTCTACCTAATCCTTCTTTCTGGACCAAAAGTTTCGTGAGACGGGTTTGGCCCACAATTTCGAGGATGGAGGATCAAAAAAAATAAAATGGATCAAACAAATTTAGGCTCAACCGATCAAAAAAATAAAAAGGATCAAAAACAAATTTAGGGTTGGGGGATTTGCTGCAAATAATAGCACGGTTGCTGGGCATAGCGGATCAAAAAAAATCAGGAAGGATCAAAACAAATTAAAACATTTCTGTAAGTGCGATTTCAATAGTCCTGGGTCGGAACTACTACATCCGGGCAGGAGGTTTCAGATTTACGTGTGAAGGTTGGCCGTGCCAGCGCCGCTTTCGCAGGCCGCTGTGGCAACGCCTCACGGTTTTGGTCGCAGGGTATTAGATGTGGGTCTGATTTGAGGTCTAGGTTTCGTGTTTCAGGTTTATGTCGTCGGGTTAAAGGCCGTTTATTGCTTGGGTGGTTTAAGGCTCATCTCACAGAGAGAATACATATGTGTATATATATATATGTGTGTGTGTATAGTCAGCTATATTCATCTTTATTCATCAATATTCATACATGCAATGGTGATAAGACTAGTCAGAATAATAGAAATGATAGTCCTGGGAGTAATACTAGGAATAATCATGATAATAATAAGCAAAATGGTTATATTAGTAATAGTACACACATATTACCAAGAAGAGAAGAAGGGCAGAAGCCGCGAATCCGCGAAGCCAAGAAGCCAGGAAGCCCTAGTGATAGTACACATGTGACCAAGAAGCCAAGAAGCCGAGAAGCCCAGAAGCC